TTAACGAGCAAAACGGCGTAAGAAAAAAATCGTTGGCCAAAAAAGGGTTGCTCCCTCGAAAGCCGTGACAAATCATCGTCCCTTGTTCGGTGAACGCGAATCACCCCCGGAGGGTTAGAGGCATGGAAAGAACGCACAGGCCTCGACCTGTCTGAACAAATACGGTCTCTAATTTACATTTTAATGGATCTAAATTGAAATCTGCTGGACGCTAGGCTCAAGATAAATCGTCGGGGAGGTTACACAGGCTATTTACTTTTTATCCTTGGTTGGTGACTGGCGTGACCATGTTCGTATCTGATTTCTTTTTTTTTTTTTTTAGAAGTTGTTCTTTCGAACGCGTGTCGAGGATATAATTATCAGGTAAACAGGTGAAAGATGCGGGGAATATTAGAAAAAAAAATTTTAATTTCTCGATGGGGGAAAAAATTATAAGTAAGATTAAGATTTTAGCGTTAAAGTTATGATTTAAGATAAATGGAAATTCATAGCGTGTTTATTTTTAACGAAACGTTTACGTTTCAGGAATTTTAATGTTATTGTGATTCGTTCTTAAAGTAATTGATTATCAACAGTTAATGATTTAACCACTACATAGTTGGTATGCATTAATGTTTACTAAGTTCTGACAGCGTTATAGTAATTTATTGATAAGCCGCAGAGGAAGTTCGATAGGGCATTCAATGTTTAACAAGTTTCTAGTTTGCACGTTTTAATGAATGCGAATAATTAACAACCTCTGATATTATAAGTTATCGATAAAATTTTCTATATAACGTTTGCACGATCTTTAAAGCGTCGTATCAAACGTATCGAATCGATTATACTCTCGCAACTTTTAATTACATTGTTAATTATCTTATCTATTTAAAATGTCAATCCCCACCCTCTGGATGAAAATAGAATAGAAGATCGATAAAAATTGAAAATTTTGCATTACAACTTTTAGAAAAATTGAAGAAGAAGGGGAAAACTTAGAAAAAAGTATTTATTGAAAACAACTTTTCGAGTGTAAAATAATTATATTACCATTTGCTTGTTTTCGAGTTCGATGTCATCTGCAATTACCGGTTCTGAAAATGACCGGTGACGAGAATAATTAAACGAGGGGAATATTCATGCGATATTAATTGCAATTAAAACCATAAAATCAGCGGCAGGCACGGATAAACATAATTTGCCAATTCTTATAACTCAGCGAGACGACTTATATACATCGGCGATTATTCAACTGGGTCAGCGATACCTCGAAGAAGCCCGACTAACCGTGGACAACGATAAATTGCTAATTACTTCGGAACGGCTCTCACCCTCGACTACGACGAAAGCCCAGAAAATCTCTTCTCCCTTGGCTAAGCGTTTTTCACGGGGAATTGGATAAAGGTAAGCGAAAGCGATATTTTTGAAGCGTTAAAAACGTCAAGATAAATTGTAAATAATTTCTCTAGCCTGATCTACTTATCAATTAAAACGTACAATTATTTATAACAAATAATACCGAATGGATGAAAATAATTAAATTGTTCTATAAAATTAACGCGAAACAAACAAACAAACAAACAAACAAACAAACAAAAATTTCAAGAATTGAAAGAAGCCTGAGATAAAACAATATCCATATATATTCTTGGCCAAAGTGCTGCTCTCTACACACAGTCGACGAAACCCGACTAATATTATTATCCTTATACATCCGTATTGTCGTATATAACTCCAACAGTTTCCCAACAGAACGTTTCGTCCCTGCGGTTCTTCCCTCCAGAAGAGAAGATCCAATCCGATCTCTCGATCGATGGCCTTCGAATCGGATGCGTCGAAATCATTTGGCACGCAGGCCGGATAAACAAGATATCCGTCTTCATTTAGCGTAACGCGAGTTATTTATGGAGCGAGGCTGATAAATGCGCGCGGCACGAATAAGAAATACCCTTGAGCGAACGAATTTTCCAATTACGACGAGCGACCCTTGAGAAACTAACCGCATAGGGAGAAATAATTCCTCGGACGGTGGCGTAGCGTGGACTTGGCGGGGACTCTTCTCCCGCCGCCGACTCTTTTATCCCTCATTTCTGATCGCGGCGTGAATCATTTTCTAAAGGCATCCACCGAATAATTGCGATCCCGACCGTCGGGGGACGAGGAGAGCCACAAATTGCCCCCTGTATTACGAGTAATTTATAATTATAAGCCACAAGGCGAACAATCTGCGCCGCCTGTTTTTCGACCCGCAACCTGTTATTTCAAGCTCTACTAAATATTTCTAGAACGACGCAGGAAAAGGAAATAGCTGCTGAAACTAACCACGATTTATTCTTATGCCGCGTCCACACTGCCGATAATTTTTCACGAGTTTTATCTTGTCGCGAGAAACGAGACGCGACTCGAGAACGTTCGATGTTTCAAAAAATGTACAAAAAATTGTGAAAAAGAGAAAAGGTATTTTCCAGGTATTCCTCTTGCGTATTCACGTTCTATGTACGAATTTTGTCGTTTGTGGTGGATGGACAATTGCTTGTAAGTTTTTCAGTACATATAAAATATATACGTCCATTATTGGAAATCCCGTTTGATCTTTGACATCGCATCGAACAAGTAGCGAAAGTTTCGAGTTGGATTCTGATCGATGTGAATGGAGCATTATTACATCGCGCGAAAGTGAAGGGGAAAGGAGAAGGGATACACAGAAGAGGTGGTTCGGATGATCGAATTCGAACGTGTCTCTTATCCAATTAAGCGTTTCCTTTTCGATTCCGCTGCGTTTAATATCAGTCAACTCGATACTGGACAATTAAGGAATGATAGGATGTAATCAAATGATGATAACGCGACGATGAATGCCGGTTTAAAACGAGATAGAAACTATTAAGTACGTGAGATCGCGTATGATGATATCGTTTCGGAAGAATTGATCACTTTCTTTATGTTCTACCATCAATCGTTGATCGCACTTTTACACTCGTGTTTCCTCGTCTTCTCCTCTCGATTTAAAGACAGGGCTCGGTCGAGCAACCGCACTTTTCACCGGTAATTACGAAAGATGAAGTGATTCAGTACCCGGCTAACAGTATCTTTTTGTCGAAGGGATCTCTGTAAAATGTTCTCTCGCTTTTCTCAATTTGACACAATGCGTTATTTTATTTAGAAGAAGAAGTTTTTAATATCATTAACTTATGTACGTGTGTTGCATCGTTTGAAAAATAGTAGATAGCGCTTTTTTTCGATTCTAATAGATCCAATAAGAATATAAGTGATTCAAAAAAAATTTACAAATCAGTCGCGCTTTTCTCATTAACTTATCTCTAGTTATCCTGCCTACCTCGAGAGTATCATCGAAACGATGATATTCATAAATATTCGAGAGACGACGAAACAAAGGAGCGAGGATGATTTTCAAAAGGGAGGAAAACCTCGAGAGAAACTTTGATCGGCAATAAGGAAATAGAAAGATTCCTATCTCGCAAACTGGTGAAACGTAGTAGAATCTCGCGACACGGTATGTCGATTCGACGCGTCATCCATCTCTGGAAAATTTTATTCCCTCGCCCCGTTGCCTCTCAGTTACGCGCCATTGGGAGCGAGAAAAGTTTCGAAAGAAGGAATATCGTCGATATAGGAGCGACGATCGGTGCTGCCTCCAGCCATTTCTTGGCCAACACGTACCGATCATTTCACTCCTCGCGTACAATTTTCCCTTCCGTACAATCCGAGTCAACTAGAAATCCGTGCAAACTATCCGAGAAACCTTCAGGATATTCCCTTTCTCTCGAGCAACTGCAAAGAGGATAGAAGGTCTCTCACGTGCATTAATGCAGGAACGTGATCGAGGAAATCGAACGAGGGAATCGTGTTCCGTGTAAACATACACGCGATCACCTACAACACGACCGTTTCTCTCCCTCTCTCCCTCTCTCTCTCTCTCTTTGGAACCTTAAAAATGTGGAAAAATGCAGGCGTTTCGCCTCCAATGCTCCCTCGACAATTTCTTTTGTTTGTTAAGTCCGTGTCTTACGTCTTGGTTTTGTTTCTCTTTTTCTCGGCCAATGTGTAAGGGGAAGTGAAACGAAAGGGAGGAGGAGCGTTAAGTAGCAGCGAGAAGTCTGTGATTACTCTAACGATCCCTCTGATAGTTGGTTTTCAGGAAAATTAGAGAGAGATCTTTTGAGGATTAGCGCCGACAGGAAACGAGACATCAGTAGTGCTACGGTAATAGTAATTATTCCGATGTGGAAGTGCTACGTGTTTAAGTAGTATTCGTTCCACGGATGACCTCGGACTTTTTCAGGTTTTTCGGAGGTTTTCGAACGAAATATAAATAAAAAAAATTCCACGTCGAATATATCTTCATCGGTGAAAAATTTTAAATCATTTCGAACATTTCGGAAATCGATTGGAAAATTGGCAAAATTTGCACGTGCATATTTTCAAACGAGGGGGAAGCTAGGCGAGATTTTTTTTTTTTTTTTACCGGGGAGAACGAAATTTCACATTGCAGCGATCCAATGGATGATCGCGAAGCTCGCTAAAACACGACGAAAACACGAAAATCGAACGCGGCTCCCTCAAAGTTCCATTAAACAAGGGATCAGGAATCAGCACGGTGTGAAACTCGCGTGGAACATTTTCACAGAAGTCGATTCGAAATCGAATCGTCGACTCGAATCTTTCGCTCTTGGATACGCGTTAGAACGTCGATCCCTTTCCCCTTATAACTTTCCTCCGACGCCCACCTTCCTCGACTCCCGTTTACCTCGTTTATCGATTCCAATCACGAACGCCGCCGCCTCCTCTCGAAAATCACGAGGAAAATTCGAGCGATGGCGAGACGAGGCGATCCCGCGAAAATTAGTTTATACGCGTAACCCGCGTGACAGTTGCAATTTCGGGGGTGGTCGGTCGGTGGTGGGTGGTAATAGCGGTTGATTTTCCAGTTGTTGGGAGAAAAGCGTACGTGACACAGGAGCCAGACATTAATTGCATTCTCATTTAATTAAAGGACTCACCAGAGAGGTGATGAGGTAGCTGTGATAGTCGCTCATCATCCCTATTTGCTGCGCCTGCTTCAACACGTCGTAAATCCTCTCCGTGGAGCAATCCAGTACAATGTGCGACTCGGCCGAGTTCTTTATCTGCTTCAGCAGCGGCCTGAAAACAGAAAGGGGAGGATTACGTAACGGTGGATACATTCTATTTTATTCGTTTCACCGCGTCTCGGCGGATAGACGTTGTTGATTTCCGCTATTAAGCGTACCGGGGCGTTTTCCGCTCGAAACGGGGCCCCTCTTTTCCTTTCCAGAGATATTTTTACTCGTCTTCCTCTTCCCCCCCTTTTTCCACGCAGTTCAACATATTACGATCGCTCGACGTAATTTTCGAAACATGATGTTTCCGAGGAAACGATGATATTATGGCCGTTTCGAGGGAGGAGGGGGTTGATAGAATATTCTACTGTATTCTCGTTCCCGTGGAACGTATATAGAGGGAGACGCGTTTTGTGTTTGCATAAATCGGGATAAAGATATATGTTTTTCTTCTTCTTCTTCTTTCTTTTTTTTTTTTTCTTTTTCTTTTTCAATGTTTCGATGGCCATCGAAGATCGTCGACGAGAATCGCATTCGGAAGGAAATCTATTTTTATCAGGGGAAAGACGAAAATCGGGATTAATCGGGCAATCGACCCCTTGGTCAACCAAGTTTTCACGCATTCGCTCGCAACGGGCCGCCCCGTGCCCGCGGGATCGGGATAACTTCCGATTCCGGACCCCACGTACACTTGTGATCAAAATTTCATATCTCGAGTATCCTCTTTCCGACCTTCCGCTCGCCTCCGCTCATCCAATATGCACGATAATGCGAATCTCCTTATGCGCCCTGTGCAACTTGGACTGCCGTTCATTGCGCGAATTTTTCATGGGCCGCTGTATAATTCAGAGGGAAAGTCTCTTTCATGCGCCGTTCCAGAGCCCTCCCCGCGATGCCCACCACCATTCGACTTTTCGTCGAATCTTTCATACGACAATGAAAACGCGAAACGTTGGCAATAGCGATGGTATTACAGGTATTATACGACGAATCCGAAAACTCGAATTCCGAGGGTAATCTCAAGAAAAGAATATTTCAAATTATTCCATCCGAGATTATAAAATCCAACGTTTCAAGTTTCGTTTTAAAGTAGAAGTGTTCACTTTCTCGTGGCACTGGTGACAAGTTCACCACGATTATATATATTTCTCAGAAAGCTGATGGTGATATCATCATCTCGTCGCTAGTTAGTCACGAGTAAATAAAAAAAGAAGAAGAAAGAAGAGAGGAGAGAATATAAAAGCGCGGTTTTTATGGAGTGGAAATTGTAGGACGGAGAATAGTTCACGATTGGCTGAATTTATAGGGGTGTATCGCGGCCTCGTGGGGCAATGTAAAGTGGTAAGCAAGATCTATTAGGTTGCGAGAGTGTAGCATTCGAGAGCGTTTTACGGCCCAAACTGCTCTTTTGTGCGATTCGTGACCTATTAATACGGCCATTAAGAAGTTTGAATAAGAATGATAAATCAGAGGTTGAAGAGGTTTCTTTGTACCCGCTGGTATGTGCCCTTGCACATCTTACAAAATTTCTTAGAAATATGGTGGAGAACGACGGCGATATTATGGTATCTCTTTTAAAGAATGATTTAAATTTGTATGATACTGTTCTCAATTATTTTTTCTTTTTTTTTTCTTTTTTTTTTTTTTTTTTTTTAACTATAAAAGCATAAATTATAAAATTATAGAAGAAGAATCGTTGGAAATTATTTGCTCGCGTTGTTACGAGACTGTAAAATAAATGTATAGAAAATAAGTGTATTAAATTCGAAATTTCGTATGCATATAATATTCATCGAAATATCTAGTAAATGTATTTTCATTTTTTTCATTTTTTCCCTGTTTGATAGAGTATCTATGCAATAACGTAAATACTGTTTTTCATCGTAATTCGATACAGTGCAATTACTTGCAAACTCTCCAATCATGTGGAAAATAGGAGATGATTGAACTTTTTGCGAAGTTATTCGTTGGTCGTTAAATACGAAGATGGATATGTAATAATCTGTAATAAAAACTGAACGTATCCTGTATACATCTTATGTCTATTTATTTGCGTTTGTTTCCTGTTGTCGAGTATTTTTCATTTTTCGAAACGAGATATCGGCAATGTTACGATAATGTATGATTATAATAATGGTTAATTAAACGATGAAAAATAAAAAACCGTTCGATATAATTCGAATTCGAAAAAAAGACATCTTTCTTTTATTTTCGAATAACGAATCTAATCGTTATTTAATGATTTTTAGAACGTTTCATATTTCAAGAATTGAATAATCTCGCACTAATCTCGATTAAGATTAGAAACAATAGCTGTCAGAAATTTTCAATTTCAATTGTTTCATATGTGATAAATCTGACGGAAATATTGTTTCGTACAAATGTTTCCAATTTTGTACAATAGTAGTTTCTACAATAATGTGATTTCTCTCGCGAGGGCCATAGAAGTTTCAAAAGCTTTATAAAAATTCGTTATTATTGTTTACGCGAGTTCCATTGTTGGGAAAAATGTCCAAAGCCTCGGAAAAATGTGAAATGATAATAAAGAATTTTCAAGCAGGTTTTTTTCCGTCGTTTTGTAACCCCGTAAAAATATTGTCAGAGGAAACAAACGCATAACCGATGAGATAATGTATTTTGTCGTGACGTTTGACTAAGAGTCGGAAATATTTCTGAATTGTTTCCTTCCACGTTAAAATTCTAACGTGTATATAAAATATAGGCTCGACATTGAATATATATATGTATATATATACTCGTAATTATGAATCGATTCAATGTAATATTCTCCAAGTTGAATAATTGTACGAATAAAATAAATTTCCATATGTATTTGCGCAATTTTGTTTGTTAACAATTCAATATGAATATTTCAATAATTCTATAAATCTGGGTAATTTCAAAATGGATTTTCAAAAATTCAAGTTTAATAATAAATACTCGTATAGTTCATTAATATTATAAAATTTACGGTTTGTTAATTTTGATGCGTATCATGAATTATTCGTTGACATTTCGAATCAAGAGATTGTCATACTGTATTACATTTTTACTATATTTAATATCATTTCTCGTTTTATGATTCTCGTCTTCCTTCATCTCGACGAATCACGACTCTAAATCTTTAATAACGTCGTTCGTTTGCCATTACAATTATTCGCAATTATTATTATTGAAGTAACTTATGGAAATAAATTTTCCCCATCACCGTGTAAATAAATCTCTCTTTAGAATTTCATCTATGGTCACAAGTAACCAAAATCTCCAAACGGACGAAAAAATGTAATTCATTCGAACCAAGCATCATCTCTCCAATCACTTCTTAAAACCGATCACGCAAATTCTTCTCGATTTGTCCACCATATCCCACAACCTCGAAACGCAATACTATAGAAAAAGAGACAGAAAAAAAGAGAAAGAGAGAGAGAGAACTTAAGAAATTCCCTTTGAACCGTGTACGTGGGCCGTCAATTAGCCGGTGTCACGACGCGGTGTTACGCTTTAAAAATGCACGTCCACTTTGTGCACGCTGCGCTCGTTTAAGCATCGAGTCGTCGTCCAACGTCGTCCTCTTTTCCTTATTCAACAGCGGTTTCACGCTATCCTGGTGGAATTGTCGCCAACCCCGTGCGCGCACAGCCACTCCTGTGTCTCTCCGCGGAGTCACCCTGGCGCCGGTCTGACTATTGACTTCCTTCCTTTCTTTTTTTTTTTTTTTTTTTTTTTTTGAATTTTTTTTTTTTTTTTTTTTTGAATTTTCCTTGGAACGCTAGAATCCAGTTCCGAAGAGAAGCTGCCAAATACCTCCGAAAACAGCCTCGAACAACACGCAACGGATCGTTTCGCTCTACAACGCGAGTCGTAAAACGACGCGTTCTCGGGAAACGAGCGAATCTCGGGATTCTTAGACTCTCCCCCTCCCCCGATGGATCGATCGATTCTATCCAGACTGCAAACTTCTACGAGGAGGGGAAGAGGAGGAAGGTAATCCAACATCGCGGGCGCCCAACTTGTTCCAACGCGATACCCGAAGAACGCACGGCTAGATATAAAGTTTGCATCGAGAATGATAAGGGATCGATACGATTTTACGGGGGAGGAGAAGCGGAGTTTACACAGGTTTTCGATGCACTTGCACCCTCCCTTCTTCCCTTCTCGTCGTCCTTCGATTCAGAGCTTCCACTTTTCTCCCTTTAACTTAATACTATCATCGAAAGCTTTAAGGAAAGGCTCGAACTAGGTCCTGCTACGGAGTATAGCGGAGCCGAGCAACATCTCTTATTTCTTTTCACAGTGTCTCCACTTCCCTTCCATCTATTTCTCTTTCCTCTTCCTCCTTCTCCTCTTCTTCTTCTTTTTCTTTTCGGATACGTAGCTCTACCTTCTTCTGCCACTTTACTCGGCTCGTCACGGCTCTGGATGGCTTTCGAGATAGTCGTCCCTTCTGAGAGGATAGGCTGCCAACGAAAGATACCACCGCGGAATCGTCGGCGACAAGCAATTCTCAGAGAATTTTTTTAATCCGGATAGAGGAATCGACGATTCTGGATATAATAGATGTAAAAATAGAGGTTTCTAGGGGAGAAAGATGATTATGTGAAAAATGAATTTTTTTTCCACCCTTGATCGAAACGATGATTTCTTTTAGAAAATTGTTGGAAATTAGTTTTGATTCGTTGGGATAATTAAAATTACGTTTGACGAGAGAAGAAAGGTCAGTCTAAGTAATTATCTTCATTCGGTTATCTTTTCTCCCTTTATTCCCTTTTGTTGTTCCTTTTAGCTAATTAACCCTTGCACACATTGCTCTCTACCCTTTGTTCTCTCACGCAACCACGTTATCTTTTCTCTTTCCCTCTATTTTTGTTTCGTGATGAACTTATGTCTACAAAAGAAAAAAGAAAAAAGAAAGAAAAAGACGTACGTTCTTTACAAAAAAAAAAAAAAAATGTACAAATCAAATTCATAATTGCTCATTTCCCACCACCACTTTGCCAGCTTCCAAAGTCATTCCATCTAACATGAATCCAAATGAATCCACCGTACCTCGCTTCCACTAATTCC